TTCTCCATGGACAGCTGTCCATATTCCACAGTCTATTTGCTAGAAGGCCCAGGACTGAATGAGGACAGAACAAGTAATATCCTTTTGAGGTTTACTGCCGACTCAGTATTAGGAAAGTCTGCACTGCCACTGTATACAGTGGAACTAAAAACACTCAACTTTTCATGCTATTCATAAAGGAAACTACACTCATGAAGCAACTAGACTCCAAATGTTGCATAAAAAACACATTAGTTATCTTTCTCCAGTTGACACAAAAGTTTCAAATTGTAACTTCAGTTTGAAAGTGATGCCTATATATAAAAAATAAAATTACCACAGGCAAGTGACTAATATGTTTCTATTTCCCAATGTCTGATAGTTAGGTCTAGGATTGACTGTGTGTATTAGATATAAACCAAGCAACCAGGTTACCTTCTTCTCCTTTTGCATTCATCATATGGAACTGCCAAGTAGTAGCGTACATCAAACAGGTCAACCAGTGGTCTGGGGAAAGAATTTAAATCGATCAATCATCTACATTCTTAACCATAAGAGAGAGAAATGCAAACATGCTAAATGTAATCTGTTAACTCCCTGCAATGAAGTATCCTTCATTGTTCATCTATGATTTCTATTTGCCATATTGCTTCAAACTGTTCGTGTTAGACCAGTGACATCTCAGTCGATCTGATAGATTCACAAATATTTCCATCTACTATACAGAAGCAAGGTGTTTAAAGAACAGACTTACTTGGCAATGGGCAACTAATCAATCAGTGAACTTTAGGAAAGAACACAAGGGCCATGTCCACACAAGCGCAGACATCTGGGGACAAGAAGCAGCAGACCTTGTGCCACTGCGGCTTGCCCCTGGGGAATGCCCACACCATGTGCCTTCTGGCGCATGGCAGGTTACCTCAGGTGGGGTAGGGGAGGCTGGGGCCAGCAACTGTGAATTTTAGAATCCTGCTGATGGGTGCACATATCTTTAATATGGAGATAGAGACCATGTAGATGCCAAATACCAAGTCCCAGACTGCAATAATCCATCTTAGTCAGAATGTAGGCTGCTTGCATCAAGATGATGCAGTTTGTAAAGGGATTTGTTGCCTCTATAGAAACACTTTGGTCCATCTTATTCAGACAAAGTGTAGGCAATGGGTTCCAGGCAGGCTGCCAAAACAAACTTCAGTTAGACACCCCTAATATCAACAGGCTGCATTAGGGAACCCTTAATAACAGTGTCAAAAAGCAGTCTAATTGCATAGCAGTTGTACATTTTGCCATTGTATCTTTTGTTCTCATGAAACCATTTACAAAGAGTTTTGAGCCAAGATTCCAGTGCAAGACAACTTTACTATTGCTCTTTGCCTTATTTGTAGGCGGCATTTCACTGCGGGTGTGTGTGTATGTAACAGGCAACTTGATGTCTTCCACCTTCCTTGTTCAATGTATTTCCCTCCCTTTTTAAAAATCAAAATTACCACAATAAGTAGGTGGAAAAATGTAGAATTTTTCTCAAATGTGAAACAAATTGCTAGGCTCTGTCCAATTACTACTTAACAAGCATCTGTGTCACAAAAGGAACCTATTCAGAAGTTGCAGGGCAGAAAACTGAATGGGCTCTCTTGCTCCTTTTGATGATTCTTACAAATTAAGGTCGAGGCATGTTTGCAGGAAAATGTAGGAGGGAAGTCTGAACAGTCATTGCTAGTTTATTGACTAAGGAGTTCTGATCTTTAGCAGAGATTTAGGTGTAAATCTAATGGGTCAAATTCTGGCTCTAGAAAGCAATGTGTTGTATGGCCTCAGGCAAGTCATTGTGTCCTTATCTGCAGTACTGCATAGCAGCATTGACATGATCAGTTAGCTAATTTATAAGGAGACTTCTGCCTCGAGATATATTATAACATTTTTCACTTGCAACACATTCTCTTTAAGGAGAGAATTAACCCTGCCCCCCCCCCCAAAAAAAACCAAAAAAACCCCAAAACCCAACCCCACTTACTTGTAGTTATAAAGCAAGAAGCCTTCGATGACCAATATGTGGATATCTTTGGAGTCTGGCTCTTTTGAGCCAGGTATTACATTCACACCATGGGAACGAGCAAATTTCACTGGGTTTTCAGTCCATGCACGCACAGTGTTCACCATTGCATCCATATCCAGGGAGTCCAGCACTAGTTAGAAGAAAGTAACGGAACAAAACCAGTCAAATACTACAAACAACCTAAGTTGGAAAGTGTGTAATTAGGAACTTGTAATATGGAAGTATAAATTACCATTAAATCTTAAGATTATAGTTAAGAAGAAATACTTAGGAAAATATATACATTACTGCATCCTACAGCGAACACCGCTCTTACCATCCCATTGTTTAAAGCCGTCTTCCCCGACTTCTATCTGATCTTGTGGCTGAAATATAGTGAGCAATAAAACATTGCTGCAAACGCAGGGTGATCAGTTACCCACGATTCGATCACAACCTGGACACTATTGTAATACACAACAAAGCAAGTGTCCACTTAACAAAACAGAAATCCTTCATGTGTAAAATCTGAAGTTACATTTTTATAACCCCATTCTCCACCAACCCTAAGAGCTTCAAAAAGTTAGTTTGCTCTAAGTGAGCCACTTTTTCCAATGGGATTCTAAGTTTAAAATATTGTATACTAATCAAATATAGGCCCCTGTTTTTAAGTTAAGAAATTGAATTGTAAGTCTTAAAATAAAGGTAGTATTAAGTTACAGTTGCTATTATATGGTATGATTTTTAGCTAACATTTCTAATAAAGATGCAGTTGAATAAGGTACAAGTCATTTAATCTCAGCTCTGCTTTCAGTAACCAATTTTAAGTTAGGCAGAAGGCAGGATAGATTTCCACCTTCATAGACTAAATACTTTTTGAAGTAAATATGCCAGAAGGAAATGATAAATTTTACTTTGAAATTGGTTAGAATTCTACCCCTTTTAAACTTTTTTCCAACTTGGGCTACAAGTTGCATCTTGATTCAGTTTCCCTTTGCAATAAATATATTTTATTTTGTTCTGTGTAGTAGGGTATGCACACATTTGAACAGTTTTCCAGCTGTGTTATTTCATGGGTTATTCTTACTTCTGTAAGTGGGATCAAACTGTTATAAACAATTATGAGATTGTTTCAACTTAGGGTAACACAATTCCGTAACAAAGTTCTAACCTGACTTGGGCCCTGACATTACTTTGGGCTTGATCTAGCATCTGATGAATTCAAAGGAGTCCTTCCACTGATTTCAACTGGCTTTGGATCAGGATCCAATAGAGGTAAGACTGAACTGTGGTAAATAGACCATCACTCCATACAAAGTTGTCTTCACCAACTTGAAGACTTGTAGGTTTGTTTGTTTTCTTTAAAACAAGGAGTTTCCTCTCAAATGAGCTTTAATGATAATGCTTCAAAGTGTATACAATGTGTTTAATTTAAAAGCAAACAGCAAGGAAAGGAAATAAGCTTGGGGAAAGAGGAAGTAAATTGATGTAAAAATAGAGTTCAGTTGAACAAAACTGTTCACCAAGGGTTAAACGTATTTGGTTTGAAATTTAAGCAAATTACCACAGGCAGTCTTTCTCTATATACAAATTTTGCTAGTGCAACATCCTGAGTTACACAAATTGAGTGAGACTAGCACACATTATTGTTTGGTATAAGACAAATGTGTTTCTGTCTGTCCAAAGCAATTCACAGGCCAAATATGTATATCCCAAATAAATGTTACAACAAAACTTACACGTATACAAAACGCAGACGCTGACATAACATTTCCACTAAATTTACAAAACATCAGTAAGTATTTAAAAATAAATAAGCAAGTGAATTTTTCTTACCTTGAAAAAGTCGTCTTGATGGACAACACAACAGTTTGGAAGTGCTTTGATAAGTCTATTGGTCAAAGTGGTTTTGCCACCATTGGTTACACTAAATAAAAATTTGAAGCAGAATTGTGGAAGAAGTATTAAAATTAAGATAATTGGAAAGTCTGATCCATAACTTAGACTAAGGCCACTTCTATATAGGGTTTTATAATATAAATAGGCTATATCGTTCTATATAGGATTTTATAATATAAATAATGATGCTTCTGCATCTATTAAAAAATCTTTACTACATAGATCTCTCATTTGCATACATCAGGGCTATTTGCTATAATTAAAAGGAAAAGGTTTTTTTATATTAATCTCATAACTTTCTTTTTGATAGTTGTTACTTCTAACCAAACGTAACTTAACTTTGAACAGTTTCATAGCAAATCCAATAAAACCTTCTAAGTCCTAGTTCTAGGCTTTTAAACCTAGGTAAAAAAAAAAAAAAAGACCTAACCAGACTCCATAGGATCATAGGCAATACAGCCAGAAGGAATATCACGAGACCTAGTCCATTAATATAATGAAACGGCGTACAAGGAAAAATAAATACCAATCTAGAGATTTTAACTCTCCCTTATAAAAGAGAAATATGGCTCATTGAAAAGGGTTCCTATGAGGACAGCCTCCACCAAATGACTCTGAGAAATTAGCAAATTGATCTCTTCATCCCAGCTCTTTTGGCAACATGCAGGGACCCCCCCCCAAATGTTTTGACCTTTTTTAAAGGAGCACAGATGTGAGCGCTAACTCTGGTATGCAGATACCGTGGGGACGAATACCAGATAAGCAAAGGAAACAGTCTGGGACACAGTCCATGTGGCCTCCTCACTCCGATGGCTACGGATGTTATTCGTAGCACGGGCTCCACGGTAAATGAATGGACGTTGCATTCGTCAGTCAGGAGCGAGAGGAGAACTGGCAGTTAATGCCCAGAGGCATATCTAAGGGGGAATCGAGAGTCTTTTGTACCCAAATGAGTCTTTAGGCAGACAAGGTTCTTTGGGTGAATCTGATCTCTTTTATTAGACCAACTTAAATAATTGGAAAAAAATGTTTAACAAGCTTTTGGGTTGAAAAACCCTTGGTCAGGCTGAGGAAGCATCTGCAGTTGGTGCGTGCGCTCTTCCTGGAGGGAAGGACTAGGACCTTGTCTGCCCATGTCCTACAACCTACCCCGTGCCCCACGCATGAGTCCTTGGCACTTCGCTACTGTGTTAGTACTTCATTTTTGCTGGATCTTAGCTTCCTCCATCGGAGAGGGAGCACTTTGCTTTTTGGCTGCTTTCATGGAGACCGATCCTGCATCCGATTTGGGGATAGAGACCCCAGGGTAGACAATGGGGGGAGGTGACGGGCGCAGAGGGATTGGAGACTCTTAAATATCCGAACTGGCTCCTTAGGCAGACAAAGCTCTTTAGGTAAAGGTTAGACCGACTCAAGATTGGGGGAAAATGGTTCTTTGCAAGCTTTGGGGGCAGTTTTCCAGGACTTTGGTGGACAAAAGCTTGCAAAGAACAATTTGTCCAAGCATTTAGCTGGTCTAATAAATAAAAGATGCCATGTTTACCTAAAGACCGCTGTCTGCCTAGGTCCTGAGACCAACAGGCTACAACCAGCCCCCACCTTGAAATTCATTTGGAGGGGGAAGAACTGTCCCTTTTGGGACACCCTGTGGGGCTCCATCCTTTGCTCTCAGTTGTGCCCTTCATTTTGCACCTCGTGTCTCCCCCCACGCCCCCCCGCTCCCGCCTTAGAGGGTTTAAATCTCCCGCCACCCCGGCCGGCCGGCAAGCGCGCTGCGTCCTGATTGGCTACCGCCCCCCCTTGTGGCGCGCTGAGTCCTGATTGGCTGGCGCTCCTCGCCCGCGGGGGGGGCCCCCCACCTTGTGGCGGGCACTAATAACGGCCAGTTAATAACGGTCGTGGCCGCCCGCGCGCGGGCTCCGCTTCCCGCCATTTTCCCCCCCTCACGCGCCCGCTCCTCACAGACCAGCGCAGGGGCTGAGGCCGCTTCTCCCTCACACACGGGGAGAGTGGGAAAGCTTCCCCCCCGTCACAGACCCCATTGGGGGGGCAACACAGCTGCGCCCCACTCCCTTCCCCTCAGACCCCGTGAGGGAAGCGGGCGCTGAAAAGACTGCAGCTCTTGCTAAAAAAAAAATACGCCAGGAATGAGAGCAGAACCCGGGGGTGGCGGAGCAGATGTCTCCCACGCAGGGCATGGCTTTAAAAATAGGCGCCACGTGTTTATATTACTGTCTTTTATAATCCCTATGGCTGTGGTGTGCATTCGCCAGCCACCAAACACTGAGCACATGCCACCAAAGGGAAATGCTTAAAAAAAGTAACTTCCCCCCCACCCCACCCCATTCTTATATCTCCTTCATCATTAGTGCTAGAGGAGGAGGGAGTCGTCCCCCACCCCCCGACCCCCGCCTTTATTATGCATTTCTTCATAATTAGTGCTCCTTCATTTTTATATTTCCTTCATAATTAGTGCTAGAGGAGGAGGGAGTTTTCCTTCCCCCCATGGATGAAGTGTGTTTTGGGGCAGAGGTGGATTCAAACTCCCCTTTGCTAATTTCATTCCAGATCCAAAAGAGTTTCCTCCCTAATTGATCAGGACTTCAAGACTTGAATGTACTAGTGAACAAGCATTTAACCCTGGACACACTTTTGCTCAGTTAAAAAAATAAAAATCAAATCTGATCCCAGACGGGTCCATTGTCCTAGTCTCATTGGAGTCAATGAATCGGTGAGATCTGACGTTGGCTGAGGATCTGGCCCCTGTCGCCATCCTATTTATGCAGCCCTGCTTTCAAATTTCATTCATTTGGAGGAGGAAAAAACAGTGTCCCTTTGGCATTCATTTTAGGAACTTTTCAATCACCATTTTTTTTTCCTATCACCGTCTTTTCTATCGCCATCTAAAAGCAGTTGTCACTGGGATACTAACATCTCACCCTGCGTGAAGAGTCTTTCCCTTTCCCAGCTTGAGAGACCTCTGTTTCAATCTACTCCAAAATTATTCTGTTAAAAATATTTTACTACTCGAACACGCTTCTTTTTATAACTAGAGAAAAAAAAATCTGTTTAAATGGCAAGTTCCAGAGCTGTCCGCATTGACTAAAAATTCAGGCTACTGTAGAAAGATAAGACATAATTTTCAAAGGTTAAAGTATCCCGCATGCAGCAAAAATAAAAGCAGCCATGAATAAATTAAATAGCAACTTACCCCCCTATACCTATGATGTATTTCATCTTTGTAGAGTCGCTTCCTTGGCAGGGATCTGGAGAGAAGCAATGTGGATTCACAACTACAAATGACGAAAATTAAAGTGAAGCCAAGATCTGTCTGAGCCCAAGCCTTTCTTTTTTCTCTGCAATTTCCTGCCTCTCTCTCTCTCTCTCAGCTCTACCCTGCTTTACTATTTCATTGAGGAAAAAAGGCGGGTGTGACTTGCATTTATACCCCACTGCTGCAATGACCTTCCCTCCCTCTGCGTTTTCCCCGCCCCTACATCGTGATGGAAAAGCCCTATGACTATCATGAGCTTGCCAGGTTAATATTTCAGAGTCTGGCTCTAACCAATCCTGACCCCAGTGTTTTCGATCATGCGCACTACAGCTGCACCTGTTTTGCACCCCTCACAGACCCCACTATCTCTTGCTGCCTTGGCTGGCTTTGTTATAAATAGATTTTTGGCAAGCTTTTCCTTTGCCTAAATTAGTAATGGGGTAGGTGAAAATGTCACCCCGTTTTTACATTTCCACTGGGAGTGCTGGGTACTGGTAAAATGTCTTGCATTTTCCAGGACGTCATATGCATGATCTCTCTGCTTTCCTCTTTCCGCTGCTCTTGTTTAATTATTGCAGGCATCCAGGAATTTTTTGAACTTCTCACGATGATTTTTTCTGTTATGATTTTTAGAGGGCTCTTTTAGAAGAAAATATATATGTAGAAGAAGATTAAATAATGCTGATTATTCCTTTCAAGGCTTTAAGACATTTTGAGTTAAATCTACTACTATTTGGGCTTATTTTTCATAGAGTCACACACACTAAAAAAGTGATGTGCCACACTTGTCTTAAGGGCCCTATTCTGCTAAACTTCCCTATGCTGAGCACAGTAATGTGTGTAAATTGAGTTCATTTGGGCACTACTCACAATGAATAAGGACTGTGGAACCTACTGTTTCCTAAATCCTTGTTTTCTTATTGACACAATGTTTTATTTGAGAAAGACTTGCAGATATAGGAAGGTGGGAAAAGGTTAAAAGAAAGTAACCCAGTAGCAACCCAGATATAATACTAAATAATATTTTTCAGCTTAACACGATGCCATGCAACCTACAGAACACACTAATACTTTCTTTAAAGGGCTAAAAATCCTTAAAGCAACATATCTTTTTGTGATGCCTTTCACAAAATCAATTAATAGAAACTTTAAAAACTTATTTAAAGATTCCTTATCTCCACTGCTCATTCTACACAAATAAAAAAAAAAGTAATTGCTTTTTATTTATATGATGCAGTGTGTGTTTTCTTCCGCTTCTATTCTCTTGTCCATAGAGCCAAACTTTGTATTGTGATCTTGGTGTTACTGTATGTATAGGTAATGTACTGGGGATGTTTGGGAATATTTTCATGGCCCAAATCCTAGGTAAAAAAGAATGCAGCAAGCTCAGAAATGACTGCAAGAGTGAGGTTCCAATAATTATAGTGGAGCAATTCCACCAATACTCTGCAGTCTGGAAGGGATGGGAGGGAAGGATTCTTTCTAAGCTTTTAGATTTAATCAGTCAGTGTATCTGTTTATTCAGTATATATGCTGCCCTTCCCAACAAAGGCTCAGGGTGGCTTACAATAAGAACAGAATAACTTGAAAACAGGAGAGCGGGAAGAAGACCAAAGTGCAATAGTTGTTTCCCCAGTAGTCTCTGCCCTGACCTTCCAGTGAAGCACTGTGCAAAACACCTAGAATTTGACCCAATAAAACAGAAACGTGTAAGGAAGATCACAGCAGAAAACATGATTTGAGTGGTTGGCTTATGTCCCTTTCCCAAGGATATAGCCTTTCCTAAAGGGAAGCCATGACAAGAGTATTGTGTGCATGAGCTGGGAACCAACTTAGGGGGTGGAAAACACAGTTCTTGTAGAAAGAGTACTTTTCAAATTGAAGACCAAGTGGGTGCAGGGCAACAAATTCACCTTCACAGTGACTCTGCAGTCCTGTGGTGCTGAGAAATGGGTCATACTATGAAGGGCAGTAGTCAGAAAAGCACAACACAATGTTACCTAACAGCTTGCTGGCAAATAGGACGCAATGGGCAGGGCTTTGGGCAGCACGTCTATTCTAATGCCCTTGTCAAATTTTCTGCTTTTCCATCTAGGCCAAATGGCAAGCAATCTATGTAGGCCTGACAGCTGAGTTGCCAGTGCCTGCTTGTAATATATCTTTACATAAAAAGCCCTGTAAATATTTGCATTGTAAAGTTGTAAACCAGTTTTCCCGTGGGCAACCCTGAAGTAATAAAGCCTTACTAAAGAGGGAAAAAGTATTCCCCAGTTTTGATCGCATCCTCCCCAGGGCTTTTAAGGTGACTTTGAAGCGAGCACATAAAATATACAACATGTAGTCTGTTCTCTACCTTCAGAAAATGAAGTGAAGAGTTAGCATTGCTGAGATTCTAATTCATCTGAACCTGATGCTTAAGGGTGGTCAGCAAAGGAAAATATAATCTGGATTCATATTCTCTTTCATTTCATTTTTATTAAGAAGCTTTTATACCTGGAATTGAAAAGTTCTGTTTTTCTGTGTCTGGGCTGGCAAAGTGTACCTGTATAAAGAAAGCCTGGGTGTCCCCATTATTCCCAGAAGAGAAGGACTATCAGCATAGGAATCTGCTAGCGTGCTTTAATGTGACATTCCTTTCATGTTTCCATCCATATTTGGGCGCTGTATATATAACTTTGAGCTAAGGATTTCATGAAAGAAATGGTACGGTGTTCTTCTGATGAAAGCTGATCTTGTCCTGGTGGGGAAATGATAACTCTTTGTGCCCCACATTATACAGCCACTCCCAGTGCTCAGTCATATAACTCCAGGCCCTAAAATGGGTGATATTCTTCTTTCTCCTAATGCAGCCTTAAAGTTTCTGCTTCTGTATTTGGGTCAGAGTGAGATCCTATCTGGCTCATTTTTTTTATCTTCAAAGTCTTTACTGGCATTTAATCATGGTTTTCCAACACCGTGGGTGCAGACTCGCTAACCTAGTGAGGAGGGATTTAAACTATGT